CAGCCATTCCTCAGCCAGACAGACGGAGATCTTGGCGAGACCCCAGACTCCCCAGGTGCGCCTCTTATCCACAATACCTGAAACAACAAATAGACTTCAGAATTGTGTACGTGCCGCTCCTAACAACAATGGCAGCCATTTGACATATGTGCATACAAGCCTTCATAGATTAATTACTGATATTTACGGAGCTTGCTTACTATTTTGATATAATGAGTAAGAAAAATGTATATTATGAATAAAAAATATTCTTAAAGAATGCGAGTTCAGAGTGTTTTCCTTCCTGTTAAAAAAAAAAAGCGTGAAATCAAAACTGAAAAGAAATCAGTGTGACGGACGTGACATTAAGGAAAGGGTGAGTGAGTGGAGAAAGCGAGGCTACACTCCAATCTATGGGTGTTTGAGGTGAGAATTAACATGCGCTTGTGATATACAGACCAAGAGGGCAGATACAGAGATCACAGTGGGCGTGGCGCTCTTCGAGAGGGCGTGGCAGTCAACTGTTTTAGACGCAATGTGGCCATGTGGACTTCAAACCGTTATGCTAAGGATGGTGTTCATACGAGGCTGTCTAACTAAGGACGTATTTTCAAAGGATATTTCAAAGGAGATAATTCCTATTTATTTTTTTACATCCAATAAAAGTAGACCTAATCAGAACTGAAAATTCGTAACATGATTTCTGAAATTCTCCTTTCGTAATTTAACATAAGAGAAGCCCAAAGGAGTAGAAGGCATGAGAGACGGTTTCCCCGCGTGTGGTCACGGGAGAGCTTGCGAGTGAGCGGCAACGGGACCTCGCGGGTGAGTTCACGGTGCAGAAATGATGATCCAGAAGGAATTAAGGTGGGCGTAGAATGCGTCACGGTAGCAAGACGGCAGAGTAAGCCTTCCCTCGAGGTTCGAGGACGTGTGACGAAGACTCCCGTCGAAAAGTAATCAAAGACGAATGAACAGAAACTGGCGTCCGTAAAGAAATGGTTGAAACGATTTTTTTTTTATTTCTTCGAAAAAGGTAAAGGAAAGATGCAATATTTACGAAGCACAAGACACCCCAATGAGACGAACTATTAAGTTAACTAAAATGTAGATATATGTGAATATGATGAGAGACAACCGGAAAACAATGGTAAAAGATGTCAAAAGCGCATTCAAGCAACGAGCCCGAAACAAGAGATAAATTAATGAAATAACAAAAAAGGTCCAACAAATAAATAAGGAAAGAAGTGTGGGGGGAAAACAGGATCCAATATCGTACATCGGAATGCCACAAGCAGGGTTTTCGGACCGTGACATTGCCAAGGGCAGGCATGAGACGAAAAGGCGGGCACAAGGAAGCGTGAGAAGGAGCGACCGTGGCCTGTTTCGGTGTGAGAAAGGTCAGATGCCAAACCTTTTCCCTATCGCTCAACTCTTTATCTCCCTTTTTCCGAACTTCGAAATTAACATACAGTCCACGCCTATCAAAACGCAACCTCATTTCCCGTCGCAACAGTCTTACAAATATACTTTTTTTTTTTTGAAGTAGGACGAGGAAATTCGCGTTAAAGGGAATGCTGCATAACAACCAGCCTGGTGATGAAGCATGAGTCTTGAGTCCTGAAATTTCTTCGCTACAGACATCAGTGTTTGGCTGCATTTCCGCCGTGACGTAAAATAAAGCACTCTCATGCACCTAAGTTCTTTTGATACGAAACTTTTCTTCTTTAAAAATGTTATACTTCTAAATTCTAAAACCTCAAAAGTTTACCCGGAACTGAGATTCCATCAACATATCGACGTTTTTGTAATATGCAAATATACAGTCCAATCACATAATCATAATCATCCTCGGGGCCTGTCCTTCGTTCATCCTTAAACGATATTTGATTCCTGCCTCACTCAAAAAGAAAGAAGGAAGGAAAGGCAGAAAAAAATGACCTTTTCTAGATAGTCGCACATTTACATACTCCAATCCTTCCGAATAAAATGCTGAATCACAAGTTAACAGATAAATATTATTTTCAAATATCATACTACCACTTCTTCGATCAGTCAAGCTTTCACTGTGACTTCCTAATTTTGGGTGTGGCGACAGCATAGTCTAAGATACAAACAATGCTATAAATATACTGAATGGTACGCGCACCTCAAACGCTATCATCACTTTCACCATTTCTTTAGTCTTGTATATTCATTATTATTATTTCAAATCTCTTACTCTAATTATACCCCCCCCCCTTATTTTCCTCCAATTTTCTTCATATTCTGCTTTTCCTATATTCTCTACTTCCTTATTTCATCCTAGTCTCCCCATTTCTCCTTCTTCCGCAAACAGTAGAAATTACAACATAGCCATCAAGGTAATTATCATGATAAAAAAAACAGACCAGATGAATAAATCAATCGATTAATCAATCAACCAATTACTGAATTAATGAACGTACAAGATAATAGTCAGATTGGCCGCTTGGACAGACAGCAGAATGAATGGACGGACGGACAATCGGACACCCACGTCGAAAACTAATCATTATTCAGTCCCGAAGATGAAATTCCAGCAGGAATTCCATTATGTTGTCTTAATATCAAACAAACCAATCTCGTGTATGTGTGTGGCATTTTCCCCTGCATTCTTATTAACACAATACCGCATTTTTGCCATTCACCTTTATTCGAAAGCCATTAATAAAAACCCTCCACGCCCCTTACCCCTCTCCTTTCTTCCGACAGGTGTGGGTAACACGGCACAGAAACCCGGTACAGCCAGGGATCAGCGGACCTGCCCAGGTCACTTATTGGCAAGGGGGAAATTATGGCTCCGCATAATTTATGCCGTGCGCGAGATCGTGTCCAGGTGGCGAGGTGGAAAAGGAAAGGAGGAGAGGGGATATGTAGGAAGGATTGATTGAGAGAGAGAGAGAGAGAGAGAGAGAGAGAGAGAGAGAGAGAGAGAGAGAGAGAGAGAGAGAGAGAGAGAGAGAGAGAGAGAGAGAGAGAAGAGAGAGGAGAGAGAGAGAGAGAGAGAGAGAGAGAGAGAGAGAGAGAGAGAGAGAGAGAGAGAGAGAGAGAGAGAGAGCGGGGAGGAAGGGAGGAAGAGGGAGAGAGGGGGAGGGAGGGAGGGAGAGAGATGGAGAGACAGACAGACAGAAACAGAGAAAGACAGAAATTAGAATGAAAAAGACACGAAAGAGAGATATAGGGTGGAGGGAGGGAGGGAGGGAGGGAGGGAGGCGGGAGGGAGGGAGGGAGGGAGGGAGGGAGAGATAGATGGAGAGACAGACAGACAGAAACAGAGAGAGACAGTAAATAGAATAAAAAAACGAAAAAATAAAATGAACCGACTGCCTCATTTTACGCAATGAAGTTGTCACTGTTCAGGACAAAAATATAGGAAAGAGAAATGTTGCTCTCCCGGTCTGCCATGATCCGTGGCCTTTGCACCAGAAGGTCATCAGTCAACTTGCCTTTCCTCTGCTCCCTATCTTTCCTCACAACCTTTACCTCATCCTGCTTTCCATCTGCACTTTCCCTCACTTCTATATTCACCCACTTGCTTTCATTTTCGGTTTTCGCTTTTCACACCCTCTTGTTTTTTTTATCTTTACCCATCTCTTTTCACACCCTCTCTTTGTTTTCTTTAACTCATTTCCTCTCACATCCTCTTGCTTTCATCTTTACTCGCCTCCATCCTTCCTCCTCCTCCTTTTCCTCCCTTCTCATCTCCTACTCATATTTCCCAACATCCTGGATTTCACCACGTTCTCCTTCCTCCTCCCTCTGCCTCATTCTCCAGATCTCTCATAATCTTCAAGTTATCCCTCTCGTGATCGTCACTTTTAAACCACTTTTCCAACTCCTTATCCTGCCCTCCCCCTCCCCTCCCCCCTCGTATTTCCACTCGCCCTCATTCCGCCCACGTCGCGAGCCTAGTGTTTGTTTCCTTCTTTCAAGCTCGCGCCATTTTTATTACATATTTCTAGCAGGTGTTTATTTTGGTGTTGTGAGTGCGAGTGTGTGTTTGTGTGTGCGTGTTTGTAAGTGTGTGTATGCGTGTGTGTGTGTGTGTATGCGTGTGTGTGTATGCGTGTGTGTGTATGCGTGTGTGTGTGTATGCGTGTGTGTATGCGTGTGTGTATGCGTGTGTGTATGCGTGTGTGCGTGTGCATGTGTGTGTGTGCGCGCGCGCGTGCATGTGTGTGCCCACGTGCACGTGTGCGTGTGTGTGTGTGCGCCCGTGTGCGTGTGTGTGTGCGCGCCCGTATGCGTGTGTGTTTCGCTCTAATACGTTTACACATCACCAACCTGGTGAGACCGAATAAAACGCGTAAGTAATCGAACGTCACGTGACACAACATCGCGCGCGTTACCGAAGCGCGTGACCAACGTGTTGCCAAGCAGCTGCATCCCCGCAACGAGACCGGGGCCAAAACAGAACGCGTTACCAGGCAGTCTTATCGTGGCCGTCAGACAATGAGCGAAATTTCCGCTACTAACGTCCGTGCGCATGAGACGAGACGGGGAAAAAAAGGCGACAAGTCTCCAGCCCCCCACTTAGCAGGTGCCTTGTCCTCCATTGTTCTAAAATCCTATGCGTCTTCTTGCCCGGGCGTTCAAGGACAGGCCGGGGCCGCGCGTGTTGTTTATGCGGGGTGGGATGCATTCGTCACAAAGCCCGAGGTCGCGAAAATATATTGTACTCAAAGGCTTTACTTATAGGGCTTCTAATACACAATACGCAAGGGAAAATCTCAGGTTACATGTTTGTCCACCAAGCAAAAAAATGCTCTCGCGATATGACGTGACGTCACGCATTGCAACCCAAGCCGAGGAGTGACCCAGCAGAGTACGGGAAAGGAGCGTAACACGTAACGCGAGTCATGCCAAGAAACAAGGCACTCCGCAGGTGATAATCGCACGTTAGGAGCAGACTCTTGCGCTCTCTTTATCATCTACGCCTGGTCATTTTGCGCGTGACCACATACGAGCGGGAAAAAATCAAATATATATATATATATATATATATATATATATATATATATATATATATATATATATATATATATATATATATATACATACATATATATATATATAT